GTTAGACAACATCGGATACTGAAAAATAGGATTATTCTTCCATTTCTTCTATGTTCTATTTCATAAAATAATTTATTTAGATATTATTACATGTACAGATAATTATACTGAAACATTTGGTAAATCTTTACTATCAAAATCATCTTGCCTTTGTCGAAATGGAGGAACTTGTCATTGGATAAATTCAACAAATTATCGTTGTTATTGTCCACCTGGTTTAACAGGTGAAAATTGTCTTATTCAAATAGATTATTGTTTAAGTCGGCCATGCTATAATAACGGTACATGTTTATCACAATTAAATACATATACATGCCAATGTCCAATAAATTATAAAGGAATTTATTGTCAAAATTTAATTAATCATTGTGAAAATAATCCTTGTCTGAATAATGGTACATGTCAAAAATATAATGGAAAATATAAATGTAATTGTTTATCAAATTATACAGGTAAACATTGTGAAATATATCAAACACCTTGTTTATCACAACCATGTCAAAATCATGGTAAATGTTTGAATAATAATAATAATAATACATTTGAATGTCAATGTTCATTAAATTATCAAGGTAAATATTGTGAACAATTAATTGATGTATGTTATACAAAATTTAATACAAGTTTATGTCATAACGGTGGTTTATGTTCAATAAATAATCTTAAAATTCATTGTTCTTGTTTACCAGGTTTTACTGGTCTTTTTTGTGAAACAAATATTGATGAATGTTATACGAAACCATGTTCAATACATAGTAATTGTATTGATTTAATAAATGGTTATTATTGTCATTGTGATACTGGTTGGTATGGTTATAATTGTGAAAATAAACAAAATGATATAAGTAAATCATTTATTTATCATCATACAAGTTTATCATCGACAACATTTCATTTACGTAATTCATTAATAAATATATCAAAATATTTACCATATCGTCATTCATCATTACCAATACGTATTCAATATGAATTTCGTACAACATTAAATAAAATTTCATTATTTTCAATTGGAAAACGTTTTAAACAAAAATTATTCAATAATAGAATATTAACAAATTTAGATAATAAAACAATTTTATCAACAGTTATTGATTATTATGAAAAATGGTTTATGATTAGTATTGAAATATTTCATTTATGGATAGATGTAAGAATAGGAAAAAATTCACTATCACAAAGATTTTATATTTCAAATTCATCATTAGCAAATTTAATTAATAATCAAATTATTTTTGGTTATAAAAATTATTCTGGTTGTGTTAGAAATATTGAAATAATGTATAGTCAAGTTTATTCTATTTTACTTACTGATCAATTAATTGAAACAAATGAAAATCGAACATTAGGTTGTGAAAGGTATTGGAATAGTTTGTTTTTATTGTAGAAACTCATGCTATACATTTGTTTGCATTACCAAGATATCCATCAGAATCGAAGGTATACCGGTAGTATATTGCCAGTTAGAGAACGACTATTAACGGATGGTACAGATTAAATGAAATAAAATACACTTTCAAAAAGTCATTCGATAGAGAATTTTTCACTCTTGATTTCTATGCCTTTTCAAAATTACTGATACTATTGCTCATAAGAAAAAAAAGCTTGGAACTAAAAACTTACTGATATTTTTCTATGCATGTCGAAAAACACGTATTTTCCCAAACCAAGACTTAGTATATGAGAAACAATCATTCTTGTGGTATCGGTTGTAGAATTTAATTCTGAATAAAATGTTATAACTGATAACGACGAATTTTCTTCACCTGCTTTCTTCCGATTTCAATGATTTTTTTTGCCTCTATAGATACTACATAGTGTCCCTATAAAAATTCTACAAGGATTCGGCTTCTTATTGAGATTTGGCTGAACTATCGAATTTTTATTATACCTATTTTCTAGAAGCACCAGATTTTCGGAAAGTTTGTATTTTTGAATTTTGATCTGGAACTTTGCACATATAGAGAACTCAATTAGACTAACTTCCATAGAAAAATTCAAAAGTTTTGATCAAAGTCTCTTTGAGACATGAGACTTTCAAAGAATACATGTTGTATACACCTATCCAAGGGAAAACGGTCAATATCTTAAAAGTCTCATATCTCTAGAAGCCTTCGATCAAAACTTCTGAATTTTTTCATAGAAGATAGTCTAGTTATGTTCTTTATATACACAAAATTTCAGATCGAAATTCGAAAATACAAGTGTTTCGAAAACCTGAGAATTCAAGAAAATAGACATTAAAAATCCGATAACTAGATCACATATCAATTGGAACCAAATCTTTTTAAGAGTTTTTATTAGAACACTATGTAGTATCTATAGAAAGAAAAATCGTTGAAATCGAAAGGAGGACAGTTCGAGTTCATTATTTGAATTAAATAATCTGCAAAGATCAGAAAGTAGCACATCAATTGTTTCATCAATGTTCGTACTGACAGGTTTGGAAATTCTGCATTTTGTTGGATTCTAATCTGAAGGCAATCATCACAAAATGAATGTGATGATTGTTACGATTAGATATGGACAAGATAATCCCGACGGAGCCAGAACCAACACTTTCATTAAGCATGATATCTTTTATAGTCCCGTAAGACTTGTGTTAAATGCCATATTTTCACAACTCATGTATTCTAACAGTTTATGCGAAAAATATTGAATAACGATTACTTCAATATTTGCTTCTACAATTTCGATAATAAAATTAATTCTTTTTTTTTCGCAAACAACAGAGTTTGCCGAACACATAAACATGTAGTATTAGTGAATTAAAAAAAGAAAATAATAAATCTTGAACAGAGAGGACATTAGAGATCATATGGGTCATGCACAATATCTCGGGTGTACTGACACTGCTTGAAAATGATATCGCATTTTTCGCTAGTACATGTATTACTAAGCACAAAAAACAGAAGTAAAACATTTTTTCTGATCGGAATCGGGATCAAAACTGATGAATCCCGTGCATCATTAGTTGTTGTGTATACTTGTCGACTCCAGCTATTTTTAACATATAGATCAAAACTTCATTTGTCTTTATCTTTTCTGACCAATATTTAGTTTTAAGCATAGTTGAGTATTACTAATTTTTGTCAAAAACTAAAAATTTTCGTTACATTTAACTATTTGAGTGAGCGCTGCAGGTACCGCACAGAAAATTATACTAAAAGGTGCTGCGATACTCATAGATATTGGAAACCGAGCTCAATTTGATTTTTTATAAAAAAAACCTAACGAAAGACTTTCTCAGTCAAGGAAAACGAATCATGGATTGTTTTTTTCTGTCAGGGGAGAAAATCGCTGTAAAACCATATATAAGTTCAGATTCCTTGACACAAAAAGTCTTTACTCAGTTTTGATAAAGGGTTCATTATTTTCTCAAAATAGTCTTGTCTCGATAGAAATACTATAACACCCACTTCAAACTCTATCTTACTTTGCAATTCTATGAGTACTAATAATAAGCTAAGTATTCCAAACTTATTTATACTTTCCCTTGATGTATGATTGATATCAGAATCCTCAATTATTAAAACAAAATCGTTTTTTTTGTTTAGAACAAATGCTTGTCAAAATGCACTTTGTCAAAAAAATGAATTATGTCAAGATCATTGGTTTTATCATACATGCCAATGTCAACGACCATTTTTTGGTGAACATTGTGATCAAAGTAAAATCTTAAATTTTTTTTTTCTTTATTAAAATTTTTTTTTTCACTTCTTCATTCTCAGTTACACCAATTATACATTTTAATCAATCAAGTTCAGCTAATATATCATTTTCATCACCGATATCAAATATATCATTTTTTTTTAATATTCTTCAACCGAATGGAACATTATTTGAACTTATTTCTTTAATAAAACAACAACGATTAACTCGTGATTTATTATTACAAAATCAATCAACATCGAAAATTATTGGAGCATTAATTGATGGTCATTTTCGTTTGATAATTATTAATGATGGACCTAAACGAAAAGAATTTGAATTACGTAGTGAACAAAAATTAAATGATGGACGTCCACATCAAATTGAACTTGATTTAGAAAATTATAGATTAATTATCGATAGAATTTATAATGAAACATTTATAAAAACACATCATCAATTATATTTAAATCATATTCAATTACTTAGTGATAATACTTTCGATGGTTGGTTACAGGATATACGCATTAATGATGAAATTATTTCATTTAATAATATAAATAATTTAACAAAAAATTTTAATTTAACTAGTTTAAATATGTATCACATAAAAAATAATCCATGTTATCCAAATAATCCATGTTTAAATCAAGGCATTTGTATTGTAACACATTCACAAGATTATTTGTAAGTTTATTTTTTATTAAATAAAATACTTTCATCTATAGAAAAATGACAAGAAAATAAAATGATCAATTTCATCTATGTGTTATATTGAAATTAAATATTCGACTCTACTTCTTTTTGACAGCCTTTTAAATTTTAAGTAGCCAATAAATGTACTCTCCTGTTTAGATAATATATGAGTACATAGTTAAAACTATGCCACTATTCATTTCTTTTGTGTCCCTTTTATTATATATTCTTTTCTCATGACTACAGTGTACCCCACTTTTTTCTTCTCTTAACACAATAGTACAATAGAAAGAGTAAAGATAAATCTAAAAGCGATAGAATGATGATTATAATACATTCTGTTTCTTTACTCGTCGAAAGACTCTATTCAATATATATGTATACTATTGTTTGTTTCATACAAATACCTATACGTGTATATATATATATATATATAGTATATGATTGAAAAGAGCAAAAAAGAAGTGAATAATGATAGATAAATTTTGTATAAAAGAAATTTTTATATCTCTTCTCTTATTTCCATCATTAATCAGATGTCAATGTGAAACAAAATGGTTTGGTAGAAATTGTTCAGAACCAAATATATGTAATTATAATAATAATAGTCTTTGTCCAGATGGATTTATTTGTAAAATTACTGATGAAAATCAAGAATGTAAGTTAAATTTATTTTTGTTTTTGTTATTAGACAAAAACTTCTATTGTATTTTTTTCTTTTTCTTATCAAATAAAAACAAAATAGGTTTAGCAACAGCAACATTTGAAGGAAATTCAAGTAGTTTAATAGCAACATTACATCATAGCTCAATAACAAAAATATCAAATGAAATATCATTTCGTTTTCGTGCACGTTCTCAACATGCACATTTATTAACAATAAAAAATCTATATACATCAAATTATTTTTCATTATATTTATATGATCAAAATTTAATTTATCGTGATTCAATATTATTAACAGATCTTATTATTGAATTAAATACTAAAATATTTGAAGAATGGACAACATTTCATTTACATTGGTCAGATTTTTCAACATTAACAATTAATTATTTATATACATATACAGTAAATTTATCATTAAAATCATTATTAACATCAAATGGTCAAACACAAATATTTATTGGAAATGGTTTTCGTGGTTGTTTAGAATATGTTTTAATTGGAGAAAATCTTTATATACCATTTTATAATGATATATTATATGATAATGATACACGTCAAAATAAATTTTTTATTGAACAAATTGAAAATATTCATATAAATAATTGTACATTTAATCATATATGTGAATATATGATTTGTCAAAATGGTAATTGTATTCATGATTTTGATCGAGGTAAATGTTTATGTCATCATGGATGGTATGGAGATTTTTGTCAAATAAATATTAATGAATGTGAACAAGGAAATAATTGTTCAATTGAAAATAGTATTTGTGAAGATCATCTAGATGGATATTATACATGTAAATGTCATCAAGGATTTACTGGACAATAGTAAGTAAACTAACTGATGAAATGTAAGAATGCGTAGTGGTTATTTTTAAAAACAAAAAACTTATCAACGTAGACCCTTTGGGATGAAAATGTGCAGGTCACATGTGCTCTTTAACCTCGTTATACTAATACAAAATGAAAATTATTATTCTAACTATTGATTTAACTGACAAATAAGCTTGTTGTATATATCAAATTATATCTACAGTAGATCTCAACGTACTATAATATATCTCGTTAAGTCCAAAAGCATTGATATTAATTGATAATTTGATCAATTCATGCTTTTTATGTTGATCTTATGATGATTGTAGTAAATCAATGCATTACTACCCATCATCCTTGACATTTTGAATAGAAATTTTTATTTGCATAAAAATCAAACATTGTACTATTGAGAACATTTACAAAATGTATTTCAACCATTCAAAATTTCGAGGAAGGTTTTGGAGTGTTTCTAGATTCGCCTAAGGATGGTTTACATCACTCGTATGTACTAGTTGCTACGATGTTCTTATTTCAGAATAGAAATCAATCAATCAATTTTTTTGTTAATATGGCCTTCATAAAAACACAGACACTTCACCGCAATAAGCTAAAAGCTCGAACTCTTTTTTTGAATATTTAAAACGCATTTGGGTCTATATGATGTACATAGACCCTGTTCAAAAGCAGTTAATCAGTTAGGAAACTTTCCACGTAAATCTTATTGTTAACGACTTTCAGTGCCTTTTTCTGTTGCTAAAGAACTATAGCACCTGTTATTCTCGATTGCTACGGAAACATACCTAATTACCATTGGCTTCTCCATTGTTAGAGGAAAACATATTCATTGGTCTCTAGTCTTTGCTTTCGGTTGATAGGATCTAAAGAGAGGAGAGTTGCAAAAACCTTGATTTACTATTTTCTTGGAAAATATATGTGAATTACACAATAAAATTAATCATAAGAGTGATTAGAGAATGGCTAAATTCGAAAGTCTAGAAATATTACATGAAAAAAACTTGCTTTGAATCTATAATTTCTTTTCAATCTTGAAAAAAAATAAAGCAGCTAGTACAGTCCTTGCGAGATTAAAATGTGAAACATGATGTAGTTGCTGTTACTAATCTTCAACATCTGTCATACTTTGTGATGCGGAAGGAGGAGAAATGGGTCCAAATTTTTTGTCTTTGTACTTCAAAACTGCTTTTAGATCGTGTTTCCACAGAATCATTATTTTTATGTTTTAAAATATATCTTAGAAAAAAATCAAGTTAATTTAGACAATATATGTATATTTAATGATATCTTTTTTTTTTATTTCAGTTGTGAAACAAATATTGATGAATGCGCATCATCACCTTGTATTAATAATAGTACTTGTATTGATTTAATTAATGGTTATATGTGTAATTGTACTAATGGTTATATAAATTCCCATTGTTCAAAATCAATAAATGATACATGTTTTGGTCAAATACATACATGTGAAAATAATGGTACATGTATATTAAAAAGTGCTCATCTTTATATTGATAATCCTCAAAGTGAATGTCAATGTACTAATGGTTATAATGGTAAATGGTGTGAAAATGATTTATGTTTAAAATTAAATTGTCAAAATAATAGTACATGTCAAAGATTATCAAATGGGAAAGCAAAATGTTTATGTGCAGAACAATGGTATGGTAATGAATGTCAATATGATATAAATGAATGTGAAATAAATCAAACAAATATTTGTTTAAATAATGGAATATGTATTAATTATTCTGGTGGATATATGTGTCAATGTCAAGAAAATTATTTTGGAAAACATTGTGAACATAAACATATTTGTTTAGATCAATCGCCATGTCTAAATCAAGGACAATGTAAAACTGATGGTGAACATTATTATTGTGAATGTTTAACAAATTTTACAGGTTTACATTGTGAATTATTAACATGTGAATCAGTACCCTGTCAACATAATGCAACATGTATACCTGATATGAATCAAGGATTTATATGTAATTGTGTAGGAACAGGTAAAAATAAATTTTATATTTATGTTTTGCTTATTATTATTTTTTCTTCTTTCTATCGTCTTTTTGAATAGGGTATGAAGATGAACAATGTACAACAGAAATTAATGAATGTCTTAGTAATCCATGTCAAAATAATGCAAGTTGTATTAATCAAATAGGTGGATATATTTGTGCATGTCCAAAGAATTTTATTGGATTACAATGTGAAAATAAAAAACAATTTTTAAGATCTCTGAATTTTTCATATCATTATATTATATGGCCTAGTATAACTATTTTATTATTAATGATTATTATTCTATTAATTATTATTATTGGACGTATACGTGAAAATCGTCGATTACAAGGAACATATAGACCAGCATTAAATGAAAATGGTCAAAGTTCACGTGTGGAATTTAGTATGATTTTAAAACCACCACCAGAAGAACGATTGATTTAGTCAAATATGATTAGTCTGTTTATTTCACCCACCATCATCCCTATTTTTTTCTCGCTTCTTTGGATATATAAACATGTTTCTTCGTTTTGTTTTTGTTCCTGATTCAGTCTGTGTGTGTAGTTTATTTGTTTGTAATAAAGCTCATTTCTTATTGAAACATTTCTTTACTCATTATATCAACTATAGTTAATATCAATTCTTAATCATCTTGATATAGTAGCTGTTCTGACTTGTGGACTTTTTACTGACTGATAGCGTGTTTTATTTATTATATGGTCAAGTACCTATATTACGTGAATTTGATCTTCATAAATATCGGCGATTTTTTCTCCATATATGTATGAAAGAACAGCTATAGCGCAATGTAGTTTCAACAATGCCATTTACATTAGTTTGTATCTGTTTAATACATTGTACGATTATTGATGATCATAAAAAATGTTAAATCAGATAGTGAAAGTCAAATAAGTATTGGAATAAAAAAAAGAATTACTTGATAAATATGGGCAATTCTTAATTTTATTCGTACTGTTGGTTTTCATACAATGATATTTGAACTTCATCGTCATTCATCACTTATTTTAAGACGATGAAACTCTGATTTAAATTCTTTTATGTTTTCTAAAAAAAAGATTTTGTTTATGATTTCAATAAATTACAAAGAAAAAAAAATCAGAACTTTCATTCACCGATAGAAAGCGACAATTATTGACGATATAGAAATATATTTGATTGGGTAGGAATAAAAAATTGCTATGCACACATCATTATATATTGCTTTCAAAAAATTAAAAATGTCTTTATGTGAAATTCAACGTGGTCAATTAACTGGTAGAATTTATTCAATATCAAAAGGATTCTATCATGTATCATCAGATTCAACAAAAACTACTCGTCGTCAAAAACAAACATTTATTCAATGGTTTCTCTCAATTTTTATGGAAATTTTCTTACCAACAGGATATCCAAATACAGTTTCTAATGATTATCTTTCTTATCAAATTTGGTAAATTCATATTTTATTCATTTTCTATAAGCGGTCAAAATTTTCTTCTATAGGGATACAATTCAAGCATTTGCTTCATCAATTACAAATGCATTAGCATTTAGTGCTATTTTAGAAGG